GAAGAGGACTTGAAACACTTACTGATGAAGATAAAAGAGTACAGCCTTCAGTATGGATTACATCTCAACATAAAGAAAACAAAAATCCTCACAGCTGGACCAATAAGCAACTTCATGATAAACGGAGAAAAAATTGAAGTTGTCAAGGATTTCATTTTACTTGGATCCAAAATCAACACCCATGGAAGCAGCAGTCAAGAAATTAAATGACATGTTACATTGGGCAAATCAGCTGCAAAAGACTTCTTTAAAGTGTTGAAAAGCAAAGATGTCAACTTGAAGACTAAGATGTACCTGACCCAAGCCATGGTATTTTCAATTGCATCATATGCTTGCAAAAGCTGGACAATGACTAAGGAAGACCAAAGAAGAATTGATGCCTTTCAATTGTGGTGTTGACAAAGAATATTGAATATACCATGGACTGACAAAAAAATGAACAAATCTGTCTTAGAAGAAGTACAACAAGAATGCTCCCTAGAAGCAAGGATGGCGAGAGTACTCTTACATACTTTGGACAGGTTATCAGGAGGGATCAGTCCCTGGAGAAGTACATCATCCTTGGTAAAGTACAAGACCACCGGAAAAGAGAAAGACTCTCAAGGAGATGGATTGACACAGAGGCTTTGATAATAGGCTCAAGCATAACAACAATTGTGAGCACGGCACAGGACCAGGAAGTGTATCATTCTGTGGTACATAGGTTCCTTATGAGTCAGAACCAACTCGACGGCATCTAACAAGAACAACTGCTCAAAGCCTAATTTCTTCAGCTCTGCCCTGAGACTTAGGCAAGCCCTCTGTTCTTGAATTGGTGGTAGTTTCTCTCAGGAGGTTTCTGCCTCTCCTCAATGGTAGACTGAGAGCCCCTATTGCTGGCTATAAGACATAGTGGTTGAGAGAGTTTACATAGATTGTTCCAGTGTTCCTGCACCTCAAAGGGATTGATACTCAGCTCTCCTGCCCTTTCTTCTGCAGCAGACAATTGCTGCCTCAAACTCATAAAAGGTCTGGAGTGTGAAAGGCTTTCTCTTGGTTCTCTTGATCCACCCTCCAACTTAGGCAGGTCTTTAGGTTCATTAATTTCCTTTCACTTTGAGTCTCCAGCGGACTCAAAGATTATGATGTTTTAGGCTATTCTACTTGTTTTCATTGTGTGGGTGGGAGCAATGTTATTTGTGTTTTCCTATGTCCTAGACAGAAGCAGAAACTCCATATTGCATCTTGTCATTAGCTCTTTCTTATATTGGTTTCCTGCAGAAACATATGTTAGGAAAAGGATCTGAGTTCAAGTAGTTTATTTGGAAAACGATCTCAAAATACCTCAGTAATGTAAAGGGAGGAGAGAAAGAAAAGAGAAGGAAGCCTCTATACGTGTTAATGAGCAACTGTAGCACGGTCCTCATGGGGATTTGTGAAGATAGTATGAAGTCAGCCTTAGTGAGGAAGCAAAATATTTATCCAACTCTCATCCATAATTGTTTAGGCCTGCTTTCCAGTGTTCTAGCTTCTCTGCCTGTGGGTAGAGCCTACTTCAGGTCAAAAAAGGCAGAGAATCACAGATACTTACAGTAGAAAGTTATTGCCATGTGGGAATGTGGGCAAGCACAACAGTATCTCACCAATGACACTTATTACTTTCTATCTCAACCATATTTGTGTACTAGAGTCTGATGTTATTGAAAGGAGGATTCATGCCTGATATATCTTTGTATTTGTCCCAGCATGGTGGTTTGTATATAATCATCAAAAGGCAATCAATCAATATTTATTAAATAAGAAAATACACTTTATACAATACCAGTATGGAAAATTCTGGTAAGCTATTCATTTTCTATCCTCCTTCCAAGCTCACATCCTCACCCTCACCCTAATCATTCAGATAACGTAGTTTGGTCGTTTTTGCCAAAAAGGTTAAATTCACAAGGCAATTCTCAACTTTTCCGGTTTTAGACATGGGTAATCTCTCTGATCCATATTTGTCTTTATCCTTGGTTTAAGATTACCTGTGTACTTCTAGAAAATAATTTAATTCTGCTCATTATCTTTTATTTAATCATCCCTAATTCTAATGTTTCAGTCTACCTCTAAAATTAAAAAAAATTATACGCAATTTGTTTGAAATACCTTTCCAATTTTTATCTTTCAGCTTATTATATTAATATCTTACTCAAGAGACCTCTTTACTGGCCTTTCATCACTCTTTTTTTCCTCTTTTCCTGTTTTAAAGATATTTTATTCTACAAATAAACTCACAAGTATCAAATTGTGATTGTGTATAAATTTTTACTTCTTCAGATACATAGATTCCGATAGGCCAAATGGCTAAAGGAAATGAGGAGGACTGACTTGGGCTTGAGATGGTTAAAATACTTCAGCAACACTTTTTCAGACTGGTGGATTTTTTAAAAACTATATTGATTTTCCAGCTAATTTAAATGCATTTCAATTTTAAAATATAATTTCCAAACCTGAACTTTATCTGATTGACATTTCATATTACTTACAGCCGGCAATGATAAGACGCCCACCAACAATTGTTTGCTACATTTGTGGTCGTGAATATGGAACAAAATCTATAAGCATCCATGAGCCACAATGTCTGAAAAAATGGCATAATGAAAACAACATGTTGCCTAAGGAACTAAGGAGACCAGAACCTAAGAAACCAGAAGTCAGGGCCATTACTGGTAAGTTCCTGGAGAAAAGAAGACTTGGAAGCATTTTAAAAGGGGAGACTTTTCTCTCTAAACTTACAAGAGTAAAGGTATTCTTTCTTACTTGTTCAAACAACTGTAATCAGCAACATTTACTTTTACTGTCTTGACTATAGTCAAATAGAAGAAAAGTTCTGGAATGCCTGTCCATAGTGTTGTCTTCAGATGCTGAGACATAAAGACACTACGTCCCGGCAAAGCTGTGCAAGGAGAGGGACCCACTAGAGTTTACATACTTTTATATATTTTCAAACATCATACTTAAAAAATAAATGAAGCTTACAAAACCTTTCTTGACATCCAGAGTCACAGTTTCAAAAATGGGTGTGTCTTGGTATTCACAGAGCTGGAGCACCAAACTCAAATGTTTTCAGGGTCCACTAGTCAGGTTACAAAAATGAACAAACTATTCCAAGTGTAAAAAGGGAAGGAGGGACTATGGTGAGTTGGATAGCACCTACTCTCTCTAAAAGAGACAGCTGCTGCCCAGGTCCAGCTGGTGTTATCATTAAGAAATTTAACCCAATGTGGTGAGATCTTTCAATAACACAATAGAAGCTGGAAATACGGAGATTTATATAAAATGTCTAGATTTTTTTATTTTTGCAATTAATACTTTGTAAAGTACTGTGCAAGCTGAATGAAATTGGAGCTTTATAGACTGCCATGTGGGGCCTCATCACAGAGCCTTATGCATACTCATTTAAGATGTGAGAATAAAATAGTTAAGAGAATATTTTTGCCATGCAAAGTCAGATTTGTTTATCATATTTCTACCATTGTCCTTTTCTCAGCTGATCCCCTGATTCTCCTCAAAGGAAAACCATTCTTGGTTTTAAGAGGAATATCATTTCATTCATTGTTCTCCATAGGTAACCACAGATTTGCAGTGCTGGAAGGTACTTTCAAAGTTGTCAATTAGTCCAAAGAACTGTTGTTAGAGACATGACCCCAGGAAGAGTTTTAAAGCAACCCATGGAGTGGAATCTTGATTGTTATGATAAAGTTCTAGATGCTGTTAGAACCCATCTATTCACAGTTCTTACCAAGGGGGAGACTTTGTGTACAGGTGGGAAAAGAGTACCAGATGAAAACATTCACCTATTGAAATGAGAGCAATTGCCTAGAAAGAGATTGTTTACCTCAGTGAAAACTCTTCCCAGAAATTCTCATTTGGTGTCAAAAATATGTTTCTTTCTGTCTGATTTTTGTCACATTCCCTGCTTGAGCATAATTATCACACGTCTAGAAGAGGTGAGAGAAACAACTGATCTGAAAGCCCTGGTGGGTTGACTATTCTGTTATTGCTACAGCTGGGGTGGGCAGGTCTTGTAACAGCACTTGCTTGAAATTTTCCTCTTGTTCCCATGCTGTGTTTATCTCAAAAGTTGCCCTTCTTCTCTAGGTAAAAATAATTCACGTTATCATTTGCCTCACATGGACTCACTATAGTCATAGAGTTCAAATTACCCTTCCCCCAGATCCAAAGTCAAATTCCTATGTAAAGACCTTTAAAAATGTGATGAATTCTTTTCAAGTAAGAATCAGTGAATACTCCGGAGTTTTTGAGTCTGTATTAATAACTCATGAGTAAGAAGAAAGTCAGTATCATTCTTTTTCCAACAGACTTTTCAAAGCATGAACAATACATACTTATATCCTACATAGAAAGTGATACTTGCTTTATCCAATGGAGAAATCCTAGGTTGTTCTGAGGTTTAGTTTCCCATGGAGCAAAAAGAACATTAGGATCAAACATGTTAAGGACTCTAAGGCTTGCTATGGTCACGTAAACCATTAGATAGAAACCATATGAGAATTGCCCAGGCTTTAATGAAGAAGCATATGTTGTGCCAATGATAAAAACTATGGAATATATTTTTGAGTGCCTGGCTACGTTTTGGGGGACCTATTTTGGGTGATTCTAAGACATAGTCAATTTCATTCAACTTAAATAAAGTTTATTAAAGTTAAATCCCACACTGTTTCCCTAAAATAAAGCCATATGCATTTTTTCCTATGATCTGCCAATGAAGATTATACATCTCTCAGCTGTTTTTGTTGTTTTCTTTAAGACACTTATTTTCATCTGATTAACTATTCTGTTTGCATTCTTCAATTTAATTAGCTAAAGAATCTCGGAGTTTACGACCATAACCAGTACCCATAAAGAGATGATAAATTTTTAGGATACAATTCATTTTAAATTCACTCTCAACTGTCAGTTTTGGCCTCCAAAAACATTTCAGTGAAGAATTACAGAAGAGGAAAATACAAATGCATGTTCTTTCACCCTTTGTAAGCTTATATTTAGAGTCAACTGAAAGAAGGCCAAAAGTTCTATTTGCAAGATAACTATGTGTAAGCAAAGATGTTAACAATTAGTGAAGAATGCATATCATAACACATAAAACAGTTTTCCCGTTTTTAAAGTCCAAGGAGTGGAAAGCCGCTGGTTCATAGCTAACTTTACTCAACCCCTAAAAGAGTAAGCAGCACTTTTTTTTTTTTTCGAAAGTAATATAATTTGTTTAAAAGTCTCAGTCAACAGGTATTTCCTGAAAATATTTTCCATAAAAACTAGAATATGGTTCTCCAGAGTGAAAACTGATCCGTTTTACCTTTTTCTTTTCCTTTTTTTTAACTTTCCAGCCAAAGGTTTCTATGATCTCGATGCTTTAAATGAAGCTGCTTGGACAAGTGCCCAGAGCCAGTTGGTTCCTTGTAATATTTGCGGGCGTACCTTCCTGCCAGACAGACTGATTGTTCACCAACGATCTTGTAAACCCAAAGCCGCCAAGTAAAGCTCTCTCTCACTATTGAAGTGTTATGGGAATTAAATCTCTTTGAAAAAGACTGGGATATTGTGGAAAGGAGAAACAACAGGTGAGGAGAGAAGAGACAGGGAAAACTGGTATTGGCCAAAGGATGGTCTAGCACTGGAAGCCCAGCCCAGTGCTTTGGTGGGTCCAGCGGAGGCCTGCCATTATAGGGAGGGTCTGGTTTTAACAGGTAGCTGCATGTGCATACTCTCTGGGGACCATTTCACACTTGGGTCAGGCAAAATTACAAGTGGGCTGCTCCTATCGGAACTGGCATTTTTGTCTAAGGGAAATTTCAGAGCCAGTTGTTGCCATTTTCCTTCCACTCTATTTTCCTGAACAAGATTTTGACCCTCACAATTAGGACTATTATTTTGTGGAAAGAGGCTTTGGGGGCTACTGCAGGCAACTCCTTAGTCCCAGAAAGAATTGGATTCCTTCCCATGCCTGTGCCAGGGAAATTTTTTGAATTGAGTTACTGATTAGAAGATTCTTTTCTTTATAAGATCATTCAACAAGAGAGACATTCAAAAAAGGGCTAAGAAATTAAAGTACTGGAACCATATCTAACTCAAACTTCCTTTTTAATAGCAAGAAATGCTACAGATAAATTTCAGAACCAGTGCCAGCTTCATGTTTCAGGAGATTGATACGATTTATCAGAACGGGGGGAGACAAGCTCCTTCCTTGTATAGAAGTCTAGTTATGAGTTCTCTATGCCCTCATAAGGGTTTATAGGTGTTTTATTGTGGAGGCCTAAAAGCCTAAGCCTGCCAGGAAGTTCCATGCCTCCCCACCCAGGGCGCATGCACAGTAAGTGGGTTATGAAACCACTCTGTATTCAGAGACCTTGAATGTGTATTCATACAGGCTGGCTTGCCTGGGAGGAAGCCAGGGCCAGGGCGGTGCTCTGCCCCAGAAAGTTTGCTCCCCCAGGCGGTGCTGCACGCCTGGACTTCCAGCAGTATTCCTTGAGATCTTTGTTTATTATATGGCTGAATTCCAGGTCCACTCTGGATCCACTGGGTTCCTGCAAACCTCACATTCATGACCTTACACAGCATAGTCAGCTCCAAATTATACAAGCAAATTAATTTGGCTTAATATTTTGGTCACACACCATACAAGGTTAGGTTAGGATAATGGTGGCAATCATTCTGATTTTCCTGTCTGTTCCGAAGGAGACAAGAGGTGAGCTTTTAAGAGAGTTTTTAGACACCCTCACATAAAGTGATAATCTTGTGGAAGACATGGGATTCAGTGACTTAACAGTTATCTTGTTAACAAAATTGACAAAAACATCTAACATATATGGAATGTACTCTGCTGATTAGTCACTATGCTAAGTGCCTCAGGGACTTCATTTTATATAAACTCTCATATCCACCCCCGAAGTAGACATCATTGTTCTTATTTTACAAATGAGGAAACCAATTCTTTAAAAGAAGATCACACCAAAATTGAGTTAAGGATGAAGTAGGAAAGCAAACTCAAGACTGTTGAACTTCCATGCCCAAAGTATAATCCATTGTTATCTGTATGCTAGATATTATCGTTGATAAGATTAACCATTATCCTAACCTAACCCTGTGTAGTGTGTGACCAAAATATTAAGCCAAATTAATTCGTTTGTATGATTTAGAGCTGACTGTGCTATGTAAGGTCATGTATGTGAGGTTTGCAGAAATCCAGTTAATCTAAGATTAATTGATAAACTAAAACACGACAAATATGAAAATTTCTTGTACCATATGTAGTAACTAAGGCAAATGGGAATCTTAGCTTGCCTATAGTTCTATTACTAATCTAGGTTTATCTTGGACTGAGGTAAAAATAAAAGTTGGAACTGCATTGTGTTGGGGGTTTCAAAAGACACTTCCGCATTCTGCTGATGCTCAGAAGTCAAAAGGCAGGGGCAATAAAGTAAAAGTTCTGGTCTCATCTTTGAAATGAGTTGCCATGTGGCCGGCCATAAAGGGAGATTCTTGGGCACTTTGCTTTGAAAAGGAATTAGTTAAGGGCTGGAGAGGCACAATTGGATAAGGGCTCAATTTCTACCAAAAAGTTGGCAGTTCAAACTTCTGAGGTGCCTCAGAAGACAGGCCTGGCAATCTGCTTCTGAAAGGTCTCAGCTACTGAAAACTCTATGGAGCACAGTTCTACTCTGACACAAATAGGGCCACCATGAGTCAGAATCTACCTGATGGCAACTGGTTTGCTTTGAAAAAGCATGACAAAAGAAAATCCTTTATCTGTGTGAATCATTAAGTCTATGAGATTTTGAAGTGGCTGAAAATGACCAGATCTTGTAGGAATTAGCACATCAACAGAGAACTGTGAGCCAGCTTGAGGTACTTCAAGGTGCTGATTGTGGGGATTCCACTTAAGGCTCCACTTCAACCAGCCTACAGATGTTCCTTAGAATTAAATCCAGAGCAAACTCAGTGTAATGACATCAATCCCAGAGTTCCAGACCATTATCAAGACAAGTCATCAAAGTCTCACCATTAATAGGAAAGAGATCACCTGCTCCTTGCCAACTGCCCTTCCCCCCCGTTAGTTCCCATCTGTGCAGACATTTGTGCCTTCAGAAGACAATAATTTATTCAGCAATGGTTGGCACCTCCATGAGCTGTGAATTTTCTTGAAATGATGCCCATAGATACTCTCTTAAATGATGAAGAACAGATATTAGCTGAAAGTGCTTAAAACTTATACATTCATTCAGGCAGTTATTGGTCTGGGATGTAATGTTATTACAGGCATCAACAACAATGCAATTCCCTCACCACTCTCTTAACTGGTGTAGCGCAAGCTTTAACTGAATTCCCCTGTAGTTGAGATTATGGGAAGAATTCCATGATTTCTTGATGATCATTTGCATATTGAATTCACATGAAAGTTGGAAGGCATGTCCCATCAGAAGGGAACACAGGGGACTGAACAACAATGATCTACTAATGAGTGTGGAGAGAGAGAATCTCCTACTGTGAGTAAGCATGTAAATCTGCTACAGCTCCATTATGGGGGCTCTTCAGACAGCCTCATCCTCATATTTTCTGACAGACAAGTGTTTCCAAGTGGGAACTCAGGGACATTTCCCTGATGAAATAGCATCAGCCTGGGGAACACTGAGTTGAGCCCCTTCATGAAGAAAGAAGCTGCTAAGAACAAGCGGGGCCTTTGTGAACAAGAAACAGAGGGTAGATGTCAAAAGTCCTTTACCCCATGGAAATCTGAAATGACCCTTGGTCTTTCTGAATGTGTCTGCTTCTGACATTAGCAGCAGTTCTTCTTTACGCCCCTGTCTAAGACCAATTGTATGGCTTTAATCCCGTATGAGGTCAGGGCAGGAAGTTCAGCCCTTTCTTTCCCCAATCCCAAGAGGTCCTTTCCCTCCTTTGGCAATGGTCCACCTTCCCTTATCACTTACTTTAGTACTGACTCACTGTCTGGCCCTCGTGAACACTGGACCTGTTTCTGCTGGTCCTGCCCACTCTCTGTGAGTACTGTGGTGAGAAATGAAAAACGAGGTTTTCCTGCACTTGGAAGAAACAGCACAAATGGGAAGCAGAACAGTTTTCCAGTAGGGGCCAAACTGGTGGCGGGAAGAGAATCTGCACCAGAAAAAACACTGCTAAATTCTCATGGAATAGTACACCCTATGCTTACTTCTTTTTAAATTTTATTTTAAAAATGTTCAAATAGATATATCATAGAGAAGAAAATAATAAAGTCTCATGCTCCTTAAATCCAACTAAACTTAATTCTTGACATCCCACTGAGGTTGATTTTGAATGATTTAAATTCCAGCTGCCACTATTTTGTACATAAGAAGAAGATGGAAGTGGCAGGAAGAGGTGTTGGGAGTGCAAAATTCCAGGGTATCTCTGATAAGCCTTTTAATCCTACCAATGGAAACATGGGATTTAAGCCAACATGTATGTAAACTAACTGCAATTGTGATACAAAAATAGTGAGATCTGGCCTAAACGCTATGGGGCTAAGTCCTCAATGATTGCCCTTTTGTTGTTATTGTTGTTGGCTGCCATGGAGATGATTCTGACTCATAGTGACCCCACAAGACAGAGTAGAACTTCCCCCATGGGGTTTTCTTGGCTGTAATCTTCATGGCAACTAACCTCCAGGTCATCCTCCTGTGGAGCAATTGGGTGGGTTTCAACCTTTTGGTTAGTAGCCGAGAGCATAACCTTTGTGCCATCAGGGCTCCTTGATCACCCTTTAAACTGAGGTTTTACAGACGATTTTTAGACTAGGAGTGTGGTAGGCAGAATAATGGTCCACCAAAGGCGTTGGCACCCTAGTCTACAGAACCTGTGAATATTCTATCTTACTTGGAAAAAGGGACTTTGCAGATGTGATTAATGTTATGAACTTTGAGATGGAGAGATTACCCTGGATTATTTGGGTGGGCCCGGTCTAATCGCACAAGTCCTTAGGAAATGAAGAAGACAGAAAGATGAACATGAGAAGAATACTCTGTTTTTGGTTCTGAGATGTAGGAGGGCTATGAGCAAGGACCAGAGAGAGGTCTCCAGGAGCTAAGGGACACCCCAGCTGGCAGCTAGAGAAGAAACGAGGACTTCAGTCCTTCAACCACCGGAACTGGATTTTGCCAACAACCTGAATTAGCAAGGAAAAGGTTTCTCCCCTAGAGTCTCCAGAAAGGAACACAGCCCTGTCAACACCTTGATTTTGTCTGGTGAGTCCAGTCTTGAACTTCTGACCTACAGAACTGTCAAAAAATAAGTGTGCTGGGGAGTTCCAGAAAACTGGCACACTAGGCAGAAACTACCACACCATTCCTCCACAGCAAAGATCCGAAAAACTAAGCCAAACAGAGAATAGAACAATCCTGAAACCCTAAAACATCAAATGAAGAGATAAAGAACTCAGCTAAGCACCAAATGGAGTGAGAAACTGACAGAGAATGGAGAGTGAGGAGAGATTCATGCAGAGGT